CTGTTTGAAAACATCTTATTACCATTTTGTAAATATATATTTTAATGTTAATCCCATAGGCCTATATTCAAAACAGTATATAAACGGTTATAACTGGTCATACATAAAAATCCAGGTGAAAAATTAATTTATTTGTCTTAGTTAATTCATATTAATACACGGGTCTATAGAGAGATGTTTTGGTTATGTTTAGGAAGCTTTGGTATGCTGGGTAAAAATGACCTGCACATTATTGAGTAGGCTTACAGTCTCAGAAAAAAAAGGTCAAAATATGTACGTTTGCTTGTCACTGGGGCTATATCCTTTTAACCGTAAGTTTTAAGGTACAGAAATGGACTCTGAGGAACATCCCAAAGGTACAGACAGCATTATTACAGCATCAATGGTACAGAAATGTTCCTCATAGACATTTTCGGTACCTTAAAACGTACAATTACCTGCAGCTAAGAGTACAATTGGCAGACCCTTGAGGGAACAACCCCAGTGATAAGCAAAGGTACAAATTTTCACCTTTTTTCTGAGAGTGTGCTGCTTTACAGTGTAGTTGTCACTAGTCTTCAGCAGTGCCTCGTGCCCTGGTTTGTCAACGTTTTCTTAGCTCTTCCTTGTGCGTTGGAATACATTCAGCGAAAGCCAAAGGCTTGTGTCGTACTACTTCTTTATACCATTTTTCAAGCTTCTGCGTATTGTTATAAATATTGCAGAGCTGGAAGGAGTCATGCATATTCTCAAGAATCCAAATGTTCACGTAGCACTTTATCGGCTTCTTGCTGTCCTTAGCGCAGTTTAAAGCACAGGTCCGTTGGCCAGTTTAATTATACCGAGGGGATGTGTAACACCCCGCAGTCATTTCCCTTTGTTTTCTCCGTTGTATGACTCTAACGAGCCTCACCTGCACCTTGTTTAACCCGACCTCTTGTTTCAGCCCTCGTGTGGATGATCCCAGGTGCCTCTCGTTTACTCCCTCATCTGTGATGTATTTAAGTGCCTCCTCGTCCCGAGTTCCCCAGTCCAGTCGTTATATTGTTACTTGTGTAACGTTGTTGCCTGCGTTCCCCAGTTTGCCCTGTGTTTGATCCTCTGTGTTCTCTTTCATTTTGTCCCGTTTATAGTTTTATTAAAGTCCTTTTTGATTTCCCCTACGCCTGCCTTCGCCTCCGTCTTTCCCCGCGACGTGACAGGATGCGCGTTCACATGGGGATTCACATTATCATTCGGCACGCTGATGGCCTTCTCAGCTTTACCGAAATTAACCCACATAAACTGGGGGAATGCCAACACAGAGCGAATCTGCCACATTATTTTCTCTTAGTGCTGCTTTTCCTCAAACGTCCCTGGCTGTCATGGATCTTGTTCTGTTTTCTAGCAGTGGGGTGGCCAACGCATAATTGCAAGGACCCCTTGCAGCCACGGAGGATGCAACAGCAACCTTTAAACCTTCATGTCGACATATGACCCTATTGCTCAGCAGTGTAATGGTTTTTATGTTTTTTTTACAGGATGTGTGAGACAGCCTTGTCAATTCAGGAGAGAAAGAACCTCTGGTGACCTTCAATTTCAGCAAAGTCCTCACGACATTATCGGTGCCACCAATAGCCTATCGCCAAGGTCCGCTCCACAGGTTAGCATAGTCACTTAGTCACAGCAAACTGACAGGTGAAGAGACAAATGTTTAGGTCATCGTCCAGGATGTTATTTTACTGATATTCTCCTGGTCAATCCGCTAAAAAAAAAATTGGATGCGATAAAATTTGCAGAGGAAAACAGTGATGTTTGTTTTCCATTCTTGGTGACGTTCTGCTACATGGCCAACAGGGGCAGTTTTCCGTATTAGTGAAAAATAATTACCCAAATTTATACAGGTTTTCGCGTTCTCAGTTATGACCCAGGGCTAAAACGGTTGAAAAGTTTCCAAGTTTTTAATAATGAGGAGAAAAGTAAGGTTTGTAAAATACACTGCAATTTATATATTTGGGTTCCATCAAAAAATACTTCCATGAATTTTATAGAGAATTACAGAGCACTATGTACTAATTTATAGGTTTTTAGTGTTTGATTTGGTCCGGTCTTGCACGTGTAGTTTTGAACCGTGTTTCCACACCCTGTCTTCACCGGGGAAGCAACCGTTCAGGTGCATCAGGTTCATCCCGCCTTGGCTGTGCAAAGTTTGTATCTTGGGGTGGAAGGACCTGCATGGGTCCTCGGTGCGAAAATCATTAGACTGGAGAACAGAAGATAATGAAAAGGGTCCCCCATGGAGCGGGAGACTGAGCCGAGGCCCATATTAATGTTCGGCGTGGGAGTTTGGAAGCTGGAACGGAAACTAGCACAATAGTGCCACTGCTTTAGCAATATGTATTCCCGCGTGCGTGTTTACAAGAGCGTGCGCTGTGTTTGCATGAAAAAGTCAGTAATCCCACAATCATTACTAATGAGTTACAATTAGTTTTATTTAGGTCATTAGTAAGACTTAATTCCTTATTTAAAATGCATACATTAATTTCTTAATGTTTAGAGAAGATCAACAATATGTGGTGGAGCACATCATGTGGCAAAACACGAGTCTCTGATTGACCATCCCTTCAGTTGGACTTCAAAGCACAGTTTGAAGAACACTGGCACACGGACTGAAGTGAGGTAAACAATTAAAATGTAGATACTGTATACATATTTTAGGCAGTAATATTTTGTAGAATAAGTTGTATGTCATACAAACAAGTAGGAAGAAACAAGTCTGTTATTCCAAAAGGAAAAAAAATGGCAAAAACCATTGAGAACAGTAGCCTGTAAGTTCCTGTTAGTTCATAAAAAAGCACTGTTCATTTGATGAGTAATGAACTAGTAGTTATTAGAAATAATCCATAGTTAGTACATAATTCCCAATGAGACCAGCAATACTCAATAGTTCCTAATGAAGTAATAGCGAACTACTATAATAATTAGTTCACTATTACCTATTGAGTAATTAAGCATAACTCCTTAGTAGTTAATAGTACCAATTTAGGTGTTAATGAAGCACAACTCCTTTGTTGCTGCTTACTTCCAGCATATTTACCTGTTAACTACGGAACAGTATTATAAAGTGTTACCCATTTGTGTGTACAGGTACGTATGTCGCTCTCGGACGCTGTCTATCTCTCTGTGGGTGGGTTTTTCTAGATCACATTTGGGGACCAAAATGTCCCCAAATTGGGGAAAAACCTAAAACTTCCTTACTTTTGGGGACATTTTTTTCAGGTCCATATTTGGATAACCTCAATTTTATAAAAATCTGTGATTGCAATCAAAAAAGTAAAAATGCCTAAAGTCTTGTATTTTATTTAGTTACTTGTGGTTAAGGTTAGGGCTGGGTAGGGGGTTAAGGGTTTGATTGGAATTAGGGTATTTCCCATGGAAATTTGTGGAAGGTCCCCATTTAGATAGGTACGCCAACGTGTGTGTGTGTGTGGGGGTGCTGAGACAAATGACTTAGCGGATTGGTTTTATGTCCGTTCAATATTGCTACGCCGGCAAATAGATTATGCTTACTAGACCTTAAATATTAGACAAAGGTGTGATTTTCAGAATCAAATACATGTTTTTTTCCAACACAATCTTTACATGGATCCGATACCTAATGTACGGTGACACATGATTGTTACCATATTCTACCGCTGGGGAGAACGTTTACGTTTTCATGCTTCTATCGGAAAGTCAATACGGACGTCAATAATGTGATGCGGAGTGAACGGGCCCCAGAGTTTTGTCCAAGTTAATCGGATCTTTGAAATCCAGGTGTCGTTGCTTGGTGACACCATCCGATCTGATAAAAGCAGAAGTAAGGGCATATTGCATTATAAACGAGGTGGCTGTTTTTTCGACGTCGTAAATATACAGAACAAGCATTTAGATGTAATCATTTATTACCTTTCCTCTGCAAGTCTGTCCGTAAACGAGTTAATCTGACGGAAGTGAAAATAATACGGTACACGTTCTGAGCAGACTTCTGTTGCCATCTGTGAAATGCGGCTACGCAGCAACAATCTACTGTTTAGGCAAAATAGCGGCACATAATCAAAAAGCATGACTTCAGATGTTTCAAGGTCTCCCAGACCACGTGTTTCACTTCCAGTTCAATCTGCAGTGTCTTCTTGTGAGCTCATTTAGGTCACAGTGTGTTTCTTCTACAAAAATGGCTGTCAGATTTGAATTGGGGCTTTTCCAGTTGGTCCCTCTTCACTCCCACAACTAAATAGACTCTCGGACAAAAAAACGGCAAAACCTTTGCTTGTCACTGGGGCTGTACACCTGTTCTTGGACTCTGAGGAAAATACCAAAGGTACAAACAGCATTAATGTACCATAAATGGTACAGAAATATTCCTCGGAGTCCATGTCTATACCTTAAAAGGTACAGTCACCTACAGCTAAGGGTACAATTTGGTGACCCTTGTGGGTACAAACCCAGTGACAAGCAAATATACATTATTTAAACCGTTTTTATGTGTATTACTGCGATTATTGAATTTAGCGATCATCATGTTCTATATGTGTTCACTATCACACACTATAAATGTTAAAGTAGGCCTACAGGTTTAAATATTTACATCCCAAGCATTTTAGAAAGACCACAAGCTTAAGGCAACGCACATCGATTCCCCATCCCTTTACAGCATCATGCAACTTGCCTTTGATCCCACAGGGGGCGCTGAGGAGGACCCAGGGCAAGTCTCTCTGGGTGCTTTTCTGTCCTGCGTTTATTTTCCTTGCTGTCATTTAAAGAAGCAGCAGCCAAATGGATAATGTTTGATCAAATACGTACCTATTAGTTCTAAAGGTCACGAAGGTCTGTTTCACTTAGTCTCGAGCTTTGTGATTAATAATGTTCAGTTTACCACCGAATAATTGGAAATCACTGGGCACAAAGGGCGACTACACTCCCAGGCCAACCGAAGAGGCATAAACGCAGTAAGTAACGGGCATGCGTTTGAAAATGTACTTTGGAGTATTTTAGACATGCAGCTACGCCGGCAACAAGACTCATCCCAGGAGAAAACGGAGGCTATAGACTGACAGGCGTCTCAGCACATCGTTTATGTCCGTACTTCCTATCATCATCTGGCTGTTTGTTGTGGTTTCTGTTAATTAATGCTACTGGCATTAAGGTCAAATCAGTTCAAAGCGCTGACCTTTACACTTTATTTACAATGCCGCAAGTTTATTGATGTGATCATTCGGTTGTTTCAATGCAGAATTCCCGCGATTAATCGACATCGCCCAGGAGGGATTAATTTCCAAGTAAAAATTGGCTCGCCTTTTTTATGCTTTGAACATTTCGCTCAATTAGAGTGTTACACGATACTCGCTATAGTACTGAGACAATCAGAGCGTGGACAAACCTCCCTTTTCTTGCAGGGTCCTATTGACGGCGCACAGAAACTTCTCCTCCTGGCGCTCGAAGGATGCTCCCGCACTGCGCCCAGTCCTGCCTCATGTCACCGTGTCACCCAACTCAACTTTAAGAGCAGAGGGCAGGTCCGATTTAAGCCTTTCCCAGACTACCGATAAGAAGGAGATTTTTTTTGCCACTCTTTCTAATCCGCAAGTGAACATGTCTGCAGAGGAGGCGTACGTGGCGCGGCCGTTCAGGCTGATCGCGCTGTTTTGCGCTTTCCTCGCCCTGTGTCTGGACGCCGTGGCTCTGTGGAGCCCCTCCTGGGTGACCGCCGAGAGCTTCTCGCTGTCGCTGTGGGAGTCTTGCAGGAGAACCGCGTCCGCCTGGCGCTGCACCTCCACGCTCAGATCCGGTACAGCGCTCACCTCCATATCGCACACCTCACTCGTAGTTAATGTTGCTCGAGATAATACCTTATTGACCAGACTTCAGTCTGGCTGCTGTAAATCCCTTATAGCTGATTCCTGTTACTGTTGCACTGGATTCCGAAAATTAGCCTATGTAGGTGTCACCGTGAGATATTGTCCGTAATATGCAGATTATTTACGTGTCAGCCTCAGTTAGGCATCGAACAAACTTTTTTTTTTTTTTTTTGCATAAAGGTTTGCCAAAGATTTACTTGGTTACAGACCAAGCTAAACCTGTTTTTATTTAATATACATTTGATCTTATGGTTTTGTGGATTTTAGTATTTTGTACAGTTCTAGTCCAACAGCGATATTTCGAGTGTTTTTCTTGTTTCTCAGCCCCGGCTTCGACCGTGTCCCGATTTGCACGGGGTCCTGAATTCCCACAAACACAGATCAGTTTCATACTTAATAGGATCAGCGCTGCTGCGTCAAACGCGATGCCGATCCTGCGTGTTTACAAACGAGAACCGAGAGAGATTAAGCTTTCCTGTGGATTTAATATATGGCACTTGAGATTAAACGGAGTGGTGCCTTTATGTATGAGGAACTAAGAATTGATCCTATTTACCCCAAAGAACTGTCTGAGTCCTCAACGGAGCTTATTATAATGAGTGTCACACTCACCAGCTGCAGCACGGTAACGTAATCAGAACATACATTGTTGAACAGAATGACTGCACTGTTCTGATGTGACGACATAGGGTCACATGTCCTCGTTTAATATAGAATGGTAATGGGGCAGCCCCTCACTCTGATCCAGTGGAGTTCCCTGGCCATGCTTCAGGACAAGGGACCGGCCCCCACCAAGGGAATCAGGTGGATGAGGCCCAGTGGAGTCTGTGAAAGCCCCGCCACCCCCCCCTACCATTACCCAAAGAGGGAGCGTCTTCCTTCCCACTGTCCTTTCTGTTCTCTGTGTCACCTCCTCTGGTTTTGTCTACCTGTTTCCCTTGGGGAAGGGGCGTGGGCCCCTGGGTGTACCCTGGGAAATGGGGGGGGGGGAGGGGAGGAATCCTGTCCAGGGACAACTTTCAGCTCTCATGGTGTCCGATGAAAGGGCAAATAATGGAATCATTCAGCAAAACAATGGTGGGGTGGGGGTTTAGTGACTGAAGAATGTTCAGGAATATTGAGGCCAACTAGCAATTGCCTTTGAGAGAACCCCCCCCCCACGGCCTGAAATAAATGAGAGGAGCATGAGAGAAACGGAGCAGGGAGGAGAGAGATCATTACCGTGGAGAGTCACCTGGCCAGCAGCACTGGGAGGCAGCCCAGAGTCGAATGGGGGCTCCGGGTGGAGAGGGAGGGGGGGGCAGGGTGCCTGTGAGCTTGGTCCGAGAGGAGCTGGGAGATTCAGGCGCGTCGCGCTTATTATTGTTTATGGGAACAAAGTGTCTGTTTGCGAAAGATTAGCGGCGCTGAAGCTGGTGATGTTGTGCGGCATCAATCTGCCAGGAGAAAGGAAGTACAGAGGAGGGTCACTAACTGGACCTCAGAGACGGGATGCCGCGTGTTTAGGAAGGTCTGATACACAGTGATGATGGAGACCAGCGTGGTCCAACATTCTCAGACTGAGAGCTATACATCACCGGGTCGCCGATCGTGGGCATTTAAGGTGTAACGAAGGTGGTCTTGCATGAAGGCAACTTCATTGTATCCGCATGTTCTTTCGCAGACTGGCAGGTGGCCACCCTGGTGCTGCTCCTGGGGGGGTCTGCGATGACCCTGTCGGCCTTCATCGTCGCCCTGATCTCGCTGTGCCGGGGCACTCACAGGAAGTGCTGTCGCACGGTGGCCGTCTTCCTCTTCACCGCAGGCAAGGC